CTCAGGAGTTTCTAAATTTAAAAGTTATACGATGATATTCCGGTTATATGCATAGACAAATGAAATGTGATATATAATCCTAAAATTATATGAGTAAGTATATATAAATAGAAGCCTCAGTTTATTTAAATTTACTATTTTATTAATTTTTTTATTAAATTATGTTTATCTTTCAAAATCTCAAAACCTACCACAGCACATAAAATGGTGAGGACTGGAACCTCTCGATGTAGTCTTTTGTAGTGTTCCTTGCTAAAGCTGTAACAATAATATACAATGTTAGTCATATCTCCATAAAAATCATTATATTTATTATATTTATATTATCTAATAAAAACTATTTAATGTTAACATTAAAATTTATCAAATATTAAATGTGATATTTAAAACCTGAAATTATAGTATAGTATACACATATATAGCTAATAAATCTAACCGATTTTTTTTTGGCTAAATACATGATAATTTAAATACATTACACAAAGGTTGACTATTTATTTCACTGAAATAACGATATACTAAAAATATATTAAGTATATTGATAGTAATGAACTAACAACCTTTTGAAGTACATATATAATTGTATTTTTGTATTATAATTGTAAGTGTTACCTCTAATAAGAATAATAATCTACATATTCAAAAAGATATTACTTCAAATTAAAGTAAACTAATCATTTTGAAATATTCAGTACAATTGATAATATATATCTAATTTTTTCGATCACTTACCAAACTCTAGTATTATATATAAGTTAAAAACACGTATTGTAACGACGTGGGATGCACTAAATATAAAATAATCGTATTTGTGAAGACTGCATAATAATCACATAAACCATAGCTATCACCAGGATACAACTTTTGGTGTAGTCTTTTTTCTTATTATAAAGCTAATCAAACGTATTTTCATGATGTGGCATGCACTAAAATTAAAATAATGGTGTTTGTGATTGTGTTGAATCATTGTTATATTAGTGAATTAGGTAATTCATTTTTTCATGTACATATATCTATTTTTACGTTAGTCAAAACAAATTTAGTTGATATTTTATTTATAATTTGTTTACAAATTTTAAATTATTTTATAACTTATTGGTAAAATGAATAAAATAGTTGTTGATTATTATAATATTATTATATTAATTAAATGTATGATTTCAGTTATAATATTTTGTATCGATTCACTTTATATTTTTCATATGTTGAGTTGTGTTTATTTTCCAACATGAGCAATAAATTATGTTGATTCTAAGTAGGTAAATTCAAGTTATTTTTTTTCAATTGCATTTGTTTTATTTTTTTTTTAATTTTCTGTTTGTAAAGATATATTTTTAGATATTTTCTAATTTAATGTATTTTGCTCTAAAAACGTAATAAAAGTGTTGATGAACTAGAATTGAACTAGGGAACATAATTAATAATATTTTTAAAACTCATACTTAAATTTGAATATTTACATAATTTTAAAACTACAACAGTTGCAATTCGTTTTTTTATTTCATTTACTTAGAAGTTACATTATGTTATTTTTATATTTATGGACAATAAATAGAATGTTCTTAAACTAATATATGTTGTTATTTGTGTGATTTTTATGTATACAAATTTAATGGAATTTGATTTTTCATTTTTAAGTATCTTAAATTTCACAATCTCATCTTAGCTGTGTTATACTTGTTCCAAATATATTAAAATGTAGATTAATTTTGTAAAAATTAATTATTTTGATTCTTTTTCATTTGTATATACATCTTAAACATTTCTATAATTTGATATATGTTATTTTTGATTAAAATCATGAAAATATATTATTTACCAGATTGAAGTTGCATAAGGAAACCAAACTTGTAACAGTGTTATAAAAGTTCATCGATCACTAGAAACCGTAAAACGTGCTAATTTCCCACAAAAACTATCATATAACATCAAATATCAATTGAACTATCATCTCGTTCCATATCTTTACGAATTATAAGTTATAAATTTATTTCTCCCTAAATATGTAGTTTGAAAAATCTATTTTTCCTCAAATTAATAGTTTGGAATTTAATTACACATAAATAATGGTTTAATCGGGTTATTGTTAATCAAATAATTTTAAAACCAAACAAAAATTCAATTCAATAAAAAAAACGTTCTCAAAGTCTCAAATATGAAATTTTCAAAATTAATTTGATGATAGTGATAGTGTGGAGAATTTGAATAGTGTAGGAGCATTTCTTTTTTTGGATAACAATTGGATTATTGACTTGTTTAATTAATTTAAGTTATATGGTTAGCAATAAACTAATAAAAATTATAGTATATAAGTAACTAAGTGTCGACTAACGATTTTGGGAGAAATAAGTTTGTAACTTTTGACTCAGGGAGATGTGACACAAGGTTATAATTCGGTGGATATCTAATGATATATAATAGTTTTGTGAGGAAATAGCTCGTTGATCTGATTCATGAGTTTAGCCAAGTATGACTCAAATCAAATAACAACCAAAAAAAAAAATTTGATCGTATATTATTTTCATTTTTATATTTTTTTTAAGTTATCCATAACATAAAAAAATATTTTTAAAATATGATATACCATTAGATTATTGTATTAAAATATTTATAATAGCAACTGGCTGTAATAAGTTTAATTCATTAAGTATCTAAATAATAACTTTGTGAGAATTAATAAAATTTAACATATATAGAATTAACAAAACATATGGTTTATTCAAAAGAATTGTTACTATTATATACTTATAAAAAAACATAATTCTGATACTTATCACATGTCTAGCTATGATGTAAGTGTAAAATTATTTAAAATAAGATTATAGTTAGTTTTTATACAAATAAATTATAGAACGTCTTAAAACTTCTAAACAAATTTAGTCAAAAAAACTTCTAAACAAATAAAAGAAAAATAGTAACCAAGTATTATGATATTACTTGTTGTGTTTTCTGATGCAACTACAAAACATTAACATTTTATTTATTGTTGTTTCCTAATTCTTGTCCAAGAAGCATATATATCAAGTTATATACAATTACATATAAAAATTTTAAAATCTGAAAGGATTAATCGAATTATATAGTTAGTCCACTTTAACCTCATTAGAAGCCAAACAATATTGTGGTTAAATTTGAAAAATAGATGAAATCCAATATTTTATTTTTGTGCACTATTACTTGTTGTGTTTTCTGATGCAACTACAAAACATTAACATATTATTTATTGTTTTTTTTCTAATTCTTGTCCAAGAAGCATATATATCAAATTATATATAATTACATATAAAATGTTTAAAATCTGAAAGGATTAATCGAATTATATAGTTAGTCCACAAAAACCTCATTAGAAGCCAAACAATATTGTGGTTAAATTTGAAAAATAGATGAATTCCAATATTTTCTTTTTGTGCTCTATCCAATATTTTCTCTTTGTGCACTATCCAATATCTTTAAAATAGATAGCTAAACCAATCTAAATTATTGTACCAACACAATTTTTTATTATGTTTCTTAAAAATATTTAGCTACCAATCAACCCCTTAAATGGGAAATCAGAATCTACAGCCGCCGGCGCACCGAAAAACAGCAAACTATAACATTTGGCATATATAAAACATTAAAACCCCACATATTCAAACAAGAACTAGAAAGAGATCCTTTTCCATGGTTGATATGGTACATTTGAAAGGCTCGAAATGATAAGTTGTTCAGAGGAATAGATAGGGACCCTTTGGAATTGGCCCGGTATGCAGAGAGTGAGTGTCTTGCCTAGTTCCAAACTAATGAGCAGGATGTTGTGATTACACAAGAGGAAGGCGATACTGAACAACAGGCCATAAGCCTTCGGGATATTTGCATGATAGATGGTTCTTGGACCTCTATGGATAAATTTTCCGGTTGTGGTTGGGACTGGAGGGACAGTATGGGAAATAGTCACCTGATGGGGATGCGCAACGTGAGTAGAGTGGAATCGGCTTTGCATTCGGAGCTGGAAGCGCTGCGGTGGGCAATGGAGAACATGCTTCAACATTCGCCATGTCAGAGCTTTGGGACAGATTGCAAGGATTTGTTAGCAATGCTCAAAGATCCTCACGGATGGCCAAGCTTTTCGACGGAACTACAGAGGATCTCGACACTATAGATTTGTTTCCCAGCTTTTAAGATTTCTTATGTACCTCGAGCTTTAAATGCAGTGTCTGATCATTTAGCTAAGACTGCTCGATCCTTTTATCGGGATCTCATGTATGTTGGTTGTTCTATTCCGGTCTGGATTCCCAGACCACCTCAAGCTTGAGTAAAAGATCAGTCTTTCGTTGTCAAAAAAAAAAAAAAAATTCAAACAACAAAAAAGAAGGTCATGGGAACAAGACTTAAAGAAGCGAACACACTCCCAGACTTAAAGAAGCGAACACACTCCCACCC